AGCAGGAGGGTAACCCTGGAGAACTAACATTTAAGGGATGGCTGGAGGAATTTTAAAGGAGAACATACAGAGAGGTCGAAGGTAGTTTTAACTCCTGGGCTTTAATCCTGACTCTGTCCATCCATAGGTATTGGAAAAACAGAGTTGCATCTCTTACCACGGAACAACAAGGGAACTGATAGGGTCATGTCCTGGAATGGGAAGAGTTCTTGGGAAGAGGAAAGGCACTCAAGTGCTTCCAGCTCCAACTGAAAAGGGCCCATGGCCTCATCATTCCCTCCTCAAGGAAATCACCCCTGTAATTAAAAGGAAGCCCATATTAACACTCTCAACGCCAGGCACACAAGCATAGCTTAACGTCCACTCTTGTAACTATAATGAATTTTCCTAAAATTAGATCTGCTGTAGGCACAGACTTAATATAAAACCTTAACAACATAGAACAACAAATGTTTGAGTGAGTTCATTACCTCACTCCTCCCTTTCATTTGAGATAAAATGAAATGGATCAATGAAGTCCACAGCTATCCCCAAATTTCCCTTGAATATTTCATTTCAATCTCAATATCAATATCAGATTTTTATGATTTCTCTATTTGTGCATGGAAAGTTCTGAAGGGTCAAATAGGTGAGCATGGAAAAATTCAGACCTCATATGTTGCTGGTAGGATTGTAAATTGGTTCAGCCACTTTGGAAAACAGTTTGGCACTTCCTAAAGAAGTTAAACATAGAATTACCATAAGACCCACCAATTCCACTCCCAGGTATATACTGGACAGAAACGAAAACATAACTGTAAAAATGGCGTGGAGGCGCTGTCTGACGTCCCCTACTTTTACAAGGGGAAAGGAGAATCAAGATCAATAGTCCAAGGCTGATTCCCATAAGTCGGAGGTCAGACAGCCTCCCCTCTTTGCCATCTTTACTAATTCCGACACCAACTGTCCCTCCCATAGCACTCTCTACTTCTCTGCTGGGTTCAATAATTCATTGCAGTAGCGACACAGAACTCACAGATCATACTCATGATCATGGGAGTTTATTAGGGAAGTAACGGTTACAATCCAGGCTCAGGAACACTCAGGATACAGTTCTTCCATCAGGACAGCCTCTTCCCAACTGTGCTCACAAGTACACCTCTCCCTGGCCCTAGGCCTCTGCCCAAAGGCACTCAGCTTTCTCTCTCTGTGGGCTGGGAAGCCTACTGCACTGTCTCCTGCTGCTGGGTCTCTCCTGCCACCGCTTCTCACTATCTTCAGGGTTACAGCTTTCTCACTCTCTCTCTCTGGTAGGATCCTTTCTCTGCTCTGGAACTAACTCCCTTTTAAAGCAAAACTGACCAATCCCCTTGATAGGCCACAATTATCCTATCACACAGTCCTGCCCAATCACCTGGGTGGGAGTTACAAGATCATGGCTAGAAAGGCCTCACACAAAAGTAATTAATCCACTGCAATAATGTCCACACAAAACAGCTACATGAATGCTTACAGCAGCATTATTTATAATAGCCAGAAACTGGAAACAACTCAAATATTCATGAATCAATGAACGGGTAAACAAAATGTGGTATATCCATACAATGGAATATTATTCAGCCATAAAAAGGAATGAAGTACTGGTACATGCTACAACATGTATGAACCTTGAAAATATTATATTAAGTGAAGGAAGCCAGACACAAAAGGCTATTATATGATTCCACTGACATGAAATGTCCAGGACAGGCAAACACATAGAAACAGAAAGTAGATTAATATTTGCCAGGGGGTTGGGGTTGGGGTTGGGGATACGAGTGACTGCTAATGGGCGTGGTATTTCTTTTTGGGATGATGAAATTGTTCTGAAATTAGATAGTGATGATGGATGCACAACTCTAAATATACTAAGAACCACTGAATTGTATACTTTAACAGGGTGAATTTTATGGTATGTTAAATATGTTTCAATAACGCTGTATTTTCAACAAAGAGAGAGAGACAGACAGAGAAAATGCAAAGGGAAGAATACTTTCTTTTCTAGACAAAGCATTCTCCAAATAATAGAAAATCAGTAGTTTGTTGTTTGCTAGCTCTTTTCTTCAAATGCTTTATCAGCAGCAGTTCACCTTCACAGCTGGATGGCAGCTGAGAGACGGTTGGTCTTATACCCCATTGCTTTTTTTCCAGAATAATTTTAGGTGGCAAAATTAACCTATCTGCAGTCAAGACTTATTTTTCTATTAGTGGAACTAACACCCAACTATTGGTTTCTGAAGTATTTTTACCAGCAGCTTGCAATTAGAGTGTAAGCTTCCAAAGCCAGGAACAATATAAAATATGCTCGATAAATGTTTCAACGTTTCCGCAACATCATGTAGGATGCGTTTGTTTAGGTAGTTTATCTGTTCGTTCCTTAGGTTCCTTTTGAAAAAGTGAGTTTATTGAGGTAACTTTATATTCAGTACAATTTATCCTTGAAAGGTTTTCAGTTCTGAGTTTTGATGAATGTTTATAGTCATGTAACCATCACCACAACTGAGATGTAAAACATTTTGCCATCACCCTGAAATGTTCCCTCATGCCCCTTTGCAGTAAATCCTCCCTCCCCACCTCCAGCCCCTGACATCTACTAATTTGATTTCTGCATGTAGGGCACTTTTCAATTCCTATTCTGTGTTTTCATGATTCAGCCTCAGGTGAATCTCTCTAGCAGACAGGATCCTGGTTTGTACCCCTACAGTGTCTAACGTGGTACTTGGCACCTAGAAGGTGCCAGTAAAACCAGTAAGCCAGTTGCCATAGAGCTGATTCCAATTCATGGCGACCCCATGTGTGTCAGAGCAGAACTGTGCTCCATAGGGTTTTCTAGGGCTGATTTTTCAGAAGCAGATCACTAGGCCTTTCTTCTGAGGCTTCTCCGGGTGAACTTGAACCTCCAACCTTTAGTCAGCAGCCAGATGGGGATGTTAACCATGTGTACCACCCAGGGATCCCCACTCAGTAAACAGGTGCTGAATGAATGAATCTATTGTTTTTTAGATTCTGTCAAATCAGGGACTCTGCTCTTTGATTTCCAGGAGATGCCATCCCCAAATGGACTATTTATGGGGGGTGGGTATGCCTCTCCTAGAGCTTTAATTTATACATGCTTAAAAAAAAAAAAAAGAAGCTTCTCATCTTCAAAGAGTTTCCTGAGTACTTCAAACCTTCCTTTAGACAAGTTTGCCCAAGCAGCAGGTATACCTCTCACCTGAATAAACAGATAGAAATAGAACCTGGAACTATTTGCAGCTGCAGTTCTCTCCTGCCTGCTCTACCGCCTATCTCTGATCCCACCACCTCCACACCGCATGGCGCCAGAGTCTCACCTAGACTTTCCACTGAGCAGGTTCTATGAGATTCCAGATCAACTTCGTGAAAAACTCCAGGGGTGGAATCTGACATGTGCTTGAGCTGGACCTTAACCTTCCCCGTCAAGCAGGGAGTGGTCCCAGCAAGACCCACCTGTAGCTGGCTCATCAGTCAGCCTTAGATCCTGTAGGCCCTTCCTGGATCTGATTCTTCTCCCTATTTTGATGCAGTTAGAAAAACTGACACTCTCAGAGCCATTGCCAGAGGCAATGAACAAAATCCCCCCCTCACCTGACGAGTTTTACCAAATGACCCTGGTCCTCAAAAAGGGGCATTTCCTTCAGACTGGTCGACTGTCCCCAAGCTGATGGGTCCTTGCCCATTTTCTGGGGGCTGACAGTCCACTGCTGTGCCCTCTGCCCTGCTGACAAAGTCTAAACAGTACAGGCACCACGAAAGACCACAGTTTTCTTCTGGGGAGGTTGCCTTGATGTTGGCATAAAATTTCATCCAAACAAAACCTCATTCCCTTTCTTCCTCCCTTGCCCCTACACTTCTGCCTGCGGCTTCCCTGGAGCAGCTCTGGTAGACAGTGCCTGTCTGCTAGGAAACAGCTGCACCATGTAAACCTGTACCAGGTGCCAAACAGTTCAAGGTGTGAACTCCTTGATCCAAAGGTGGGGTTCTGCCACATGCTGCCAAACAAACCGCCAAAAAGATTTTAGTCGGGGGTACATGGAATAATTGCACAGGTCATAACCCTGTGGACAGATGAACCATTACTCAACCAAAGCGAACCAGGGAAATTTCTGCTACAGAAATGATGACGTGTGTGTGCGTGTCTGTGTGTGTGTGCGTGTGTGTGTGTGTGAGAAGGGGGAGGGGAATTGAGGATTGTCAAGGTTCAGAAAAAGAAAAATGAAAGGGGGCATAAAAAAAGGAAAGTCAAGGTAGAGCAAGGTTAATATATTCTTCATCAAGACCATCTAAAGCTGTAGCTTTCAAACTTCTGTTTTACTACCACCATGGGAAGAAACAGATTTTACTTTGTAACACACACACACATACACACAGATGTAGGATGAAAACAAAAGTTTCACATGCTTACATCTAAATCTGCTGTCTTTTCATTCCCACTCATGGCAACCCCATGTGTTACGGAGTAGAACTGCTCCATAGGGTTTTCTTGGTTTACTTTTTACGGAAGCAATTGGCCAGGCTTTTCCCCAGCTGAGCTGCTGGGTGGCTTTGAACCGGCAACCTTTAGGTTAGCAGCTTACTGCAAACTGCTTGCGCCACCCAGACAGCAAGCTATACAAAAATTCATTTTCTCTTTTATTTTAAATTGATTTCAGATGCCACTTATTGGTTAGACCTCAGTTTGGGAAAACACTGTTCTAAAGGATGTCTTAAGAGGGAACGAGAGAGTGAAGAAAAGGCTCAGGGTAGAAATCAAGGGTTGAGGGATGTGCGTGACTCGTTTTAAAGCCTTTCCTTTCTCCCCTGCCCCTAACCCACGAAGACCCCACATAAAGGAGGCCACCTGATTCCACAGCCTGGGCAGCAAGCCCCTCTTCCCTGTCCTCTTCCCTGAGGCTTCGTTCGCTCCTCCTGCAGTGAGGAAGCAGTCAGCAGCCTGAGCCCCGAGGCCAAAGCCCACCTTCAGGATGCGTGTTGCTCCCGCTGTGGGATCTGGCGTACCCCGCCGCACTTGCCTTCCCGGCGGGCCGCCTGTTGCCGGAGGAGAGTGGGCGTGGGCGCGACAGGGGCGGGGCGCGTCCTGCGGCTCCAGGTGGCCCCCGCCGCAGCACCTCCAGCTGCTGAAGCTCGGGAGACGGCGCGGGATGGGTGCGCAGGAGTGCCAGAAGGCTGCGCAGGAGGGCGAGGCGGCCGTGGCGCCGGGGCCCCTCGATCCTGACTCCGTGGCGGCCTGGTGGGACATGGCCGTGCGAAACCTGCAGTGAGTACCCGCCGCCCGGGTGTCCCCGGTCCACCCTGGCAGGGTCTCCGACAGCTCGGGCTGCCTGGGATGAGGACGGGGGGCTAGGGGAGGCGGCCAAGGGCAGGGCCGGGATCCCTTCCCGGGGCGCAGCCAAGCCCAGTTCTCTCCGCAGAACCAGTGGCCAACCACTGTGGCTCCACAGTAGTTAAGAGCTCGGCTGCTAACCAAAAGGTCGGCAGTTAGAATCTATCAGCCACTCCTTGAAAAGCCTGTGGGGCAGTTCTACTCTGACTTATACGGTCGCGATGAGTCGGAATCGACTCGACGGCAACGGGTTTGGTTTTCCTCATCCTCAACCCCTATCCAGGCCAGATTCTAGCAGGTTTGACTTTTCAGGAAGTTATATCCTTTGGGGACTTATGAAATAGATTCCAGTTGGATGCTTCAGGTTCCTATACCCATCTCTCGTATCTGCCTTACATAATGCACATACTAACATGCGGGATGGGTTTAATGATGACAATAATAATATAGGTTATAGTTTGGGATGGTATCGTTCTGGGTCACGGGCCTATCTGGGTAGGTGGGAAAGGATGGGAAATCACTGCCCAGCTCCCCAGGTGTGAACTCTCTGGCATGTATTTAAAGAACACACTTCCATGATGCTGAAGATGTATAGTGCACTGGAACTATCACTCAGCATTACCGGTGTCAAATTTTTGCATCGTTTATATCTGCATGTCTATATATCTGTGGGCTTTTTACTTTTTTCCTCTTGTGAATCCTTCATTTGAACAGGATGTACTCTTGTTACCTGAATCTACCGACAATATATTGCCAGTCTTGTCTGTATTGAAGCCAGATATTGGTTGGCAAGCCAGGACCCAGGGGACTCAGGGGTTTTGTTGGTGTGGGATGGTATTAGCATTTTTGTTTACCTTTCCATTCTTCTTTATTTTGTTGCTAATTTCAAAATATCCAAAAATCACATTTGGACACAAGAAATTTCACTTTGGAATGCCCAGAATGATGATGAAACACAAATCTTCACTCCTCTGTTCCTTCCCTAGCTCAGTGCAGAGAGCAGAGTGTAGCTCTACACTGGCCCAGTAGTGCAGGCCGTGACTCGCCTATCCCCATTCAGAATGTCCTGACTGACTTGCACTTTTCAAACTTCACATTCACAGGCCTTTCCTCTTTGCTACAGCTGGCATCTACCCACCTGTCTCTTTCACACTCTCTGTAGAATTGATGATGGATTATTTAACATTTATGTGGCATTAAAGAACATTTGTTAGGCAGAGAATCAAAGCTGCCGTTCATATTCTCGTGAACAACTCACTTTGTTGTTAATGGATTGGGAGATGGGGAATTGGGAACCTTCTATTACTTGCCTTACTAATTAGTAAAAAATAAGTCTCAAGAGAAGCTTCCTGAAAGAATGGATAAAATACTAGTGCATTTTTTTATCCTAGCAGAAAATTACTGATCTGAGGTGCCAGGGCTGAGGCACCGACCCATTTCCAGCGTCCTGAATTCTTTTTTTTAAATTTGGAGCCAGGTTAGTTTAGATCAATAAACAGTCATGGACAGCTTGCTGTGCGCCAGGCACTGCTTGTAGCGCTGGATCTATTGTGATGTGTTGTGAGACTCAAGGAGAACACTTAAACATTTTTAGTGATTGTTTTCTGAATGTCTCAGGGATTGATTTATTTTATAAAAATTTCATCAGATTTCGTTGGTGCTTAAGGTGAGTGGGCTTAGGACAATATCTCTATTTGCAACTGGTTTTTTGTTTTAAACTAGAAAAGTGGAAAAAGTGTTAGGAAGTTGGGGGAAGCAAAAGGGCTATTCTGATTTTTGCCCCTTTCATCCTACATCTTCATATTTCTAGACACTGCTTAGAAAACCCCCATAAGAAAACTGATAAACTCATTCATTCATTCTTGAGTATTGATTATTCACCACATTATCAGGAACTAATCTAAGTCCCGGGGCCATAGCACTGAATAAAACAGAGAAATCCTTGCTCTTTTGGGCTCATATTGATTACTTTTCAATTATAAACAAAAAAAGAGAAGTCCTTCCTCTCTTCCTTAAAGCTACGATAAGAACCACTGCCTTCTTCCTTATGAAAGAAATATGCTTCTCTTTCAGAGTTTTCAACCCGGAGGTCAACAAATATTTATTAAGCTCAGCCTGTGCGAGACACCTGTACCTGTTGCCATCGAGTGGATTCCAACCCATGGAGACCCTCGAAGGAAGAGTAGAGCTTCTCCATAGAGTTTCCAGGGAGTGGCTGGTGGATTTGAACTTCGACCCTTTGGTTAACAGCTGAGCTCTTAACCACTGCCCGACCAGGGCTCCATGCTAGACACAGTGGAATGTAATATATAGCTCTTGTCGTCTTGATAAGACAGCTGATCATGGGAAAACAATCAGAGAACAATTAAGGATCAAATTGGAGAACCTGATTATAATTAGTGAGAGGGCTGAAAAGAGAGGAAAGGTCCTGTGGGAAGGATCTGGCTACAGAGGCTTTGAAAAAGGAGAGACTTGAGTGGTGTGAAGGTAAAGGTAGAATTGAGTTTGGGAGGGAAGAAGGAAGGAGAACACAGGTGTTTGATGATCAGTACATGTTGGCTGAATGAGCATATAGGATGGGTGTGCAGCATGTCTTAATATTTGGAATAGTTGTGCTGCCAAGTGTGGTGAGATCTGGGCTTCTCCAAAGCTGGTTAAGCTGGTTTATAGACGCCTGAGCATGATTCGCCCTGATGCCACTCAGGCTCCACCAGGTTTCACCAGTAAGAATCACCCAGTTAGGGCGTTCGGCTCCTGCGGGGTGGATGCTGTGCAGTTACAGCTGCCGCTGATCAAAGGGCAGGCGGAAGAACACCAAAGCATCAAGGTGCCTGTTTGATGTGGCTGCATCCTCCGCTCAAATAAGGTCTGTTAGCCCTGGTGACTTTTGATCCCTTACTGATCTAGGGGATGTCAAATTGACAGCCCTCTAGTTAAAAGAAGCGGCTCTGCATTATTGATGCTCCAAGGGATCTGGTCATTCTCTTACTCCCCGCCGCGCTTCTCACAGAAGTGCCTCGTCCTATTTGAGAGGAGCGTCCTGTATGAATTATTCTTTAAAAACAGAAACATATTTCTATCCGCCGCCTCTGCTTCCCAAGCACCCTGCCTACCTTCAAAGATATAACTTCGCGGGAGACTAAGAGGCAGGGTAGCTGTGAGTTCAGGGAGTCAGGAGACAGCAAGCAGGAGGCAGGAACTGGAGGGGAGCGAGCATAAGGAACAGACTTGCTTTCAGCTCTGCCCATCTTGCTTGATCTGTGGCTCAAAGCAGCTTCTCTGGGTTTTGATTTCTCATCTCTGAAATCAGAACAACAATGTTCTCTCCTTCCTACTGCCTTCATGGAGGCTATTTTAAGGTATTATGAAACAATCATTTTCATTTCTTTCTTGCTGGGACTGATTTTGTGAGCAGGCAATTGCCCAGGTGTATTTGAAGAGCTATCCATCAGCTTCAACCCACATATCTTTTCCACCCGTTGCTGAGCCACTAGAAATCCATCAAAGAGTCATTATCTTCTCCCTTCATACCACTTCCAAACATAGATAAGCTCTCTGATTTTTAAGTCATTAACACTTGAGGGAAAATTTGGTTTGTAAGGGATCTTTCTTTGGTGCCTTTAGTATCAGAGGGCTCCTGAGAATAGTGGGCATTAGCGGGGGAGGAAGGGTGGGGAAGGAGTGGTGGGAGGAAGGAACACTGAGAGGCGGCAAGGGTGCAAAGGGGATAAAACCAAAAACCGTTGCCATTGAGTTGATTCCAACTCGTAATGACCCTATAGGACAGAGCAGAACTGTCCCATAGGGTTTCTGAGGCTGTAATCTTAGGGGATCAGACTGCCACATCTTTCTCCCATGGAGAGGCTGGTGGTTTTGAAACACTGACCTTTCGGTTCGCAGCTGAGCGCTTAACCACTGTGCAACCAGTCCTCCTGCAAAGGGAATAAAGGGCTCCTAAAACAGCATTCTCCTTAACAGCAGAATTTTGGGAGGCCAGCCTTGTTCCTGGGGTTCATTTTTCCTTCTGTAGGTGTCGAGTAGAACTCACCGGGACCGTGACAGCTCATGGAGATCATCACAGGTTTCTGGGCTCAGACAGACCTGGGTAACTGTGGCTCTGCCATTCATTGGCTGTGTGACCTTGACATTTTCAGTCTCCTCATCTGCAAAAAGAAAAGTTATCTTCTAAACTGCCTCTAGTCTAGCAGAGAAATCAGGGCAGGGGAAAACAGTTCATCCAAAATGCCTTCTAGCCCTCCCCCTCTCCCCCTAACCTCATAATTTGATTACACTGAGCAGTTTTAACTTTGAGTACTCAGAATAGGAAAAGGAATTTATTTAATGGATGATGTGGACAAAAAACAAAAGGAGGAGATGGTGCCCCTGACCTCCTGTATCCCTTGTCTCCCACCCAGCCCCCCAGTTAGGATATACCCTAGCCCTCAAGAGAGATGTGGCTAGGGACAAAGGTGGCATTAGTGGCCTCACATGGACAAATCATCTCTTCTCCGCTGATGGCTCCCGGTTTGGTTGGTTATGACACAGGGAACTGTAGAATAAACAAGATGTGCATGGCCTGCTGTAGCCCCTCTGCCTGGGCCTCCAGCCTCCCCCACCTGCTCCTGATGGGTCCCTCCTCTCTAAGGATGTTACATCAGAAGTGGGGCTCTCTCTCATTGGCTCATTGCTTCCTAAGATCCAGCCAGGAGAGTGGAATCAAGTGATTACTTGCTCACTGCTTTAGACTAATAATAATAGTAATAATAGTGCATATAGCAATGAATGGTAACGTAAATTAAAAACTGTGGCAACTATTGGGCTGAATTCTGTTTCCTGATGACTTTGGGGTCCAGCCTCAGCCTTCTATGGGCCTACACTAAGGGCACAAGCCTGACTTCAGTGCATCTACCGTTGCCTCCCCTCCTCTCCCTGTCAAGCCCTGGCTTTTCAGCAGCTGATCGGGGCTCTACCTTCTTGCTTTCCTCACCTGGTTCCCCTTTAGTGCCCTGTCCTAATCCACCCTATAGATAATTACATATAGCTCTGTAAAGGATTTTGTTTAAATGCCAAGCTACCTGTAATTCCCAGTATTAGCCTCTGTAATTTGATCTGGATCTTAGAAAAAACAAAGACAAAACTTTGACTGATTTTGAAAACCCTGTTTCACAATATCTTGCAGATTTGTTCCAGGCTCTTGTTCAACACTCAGAAGAAAAATTGCTGCTCTGTATAACAGCTTAACTAGTAAACCATTAAAAGAACACATTTTCCCTCCTTTGATGGACATGCTAATTTTTTTTAATTTTTGTAAGTATATACCTTTCATCAATTTGCCTGTATATATTTTTTCCCCAAATGAAGAATTCACTGCTTTTAAAGTTGTGACATAATGAAAAAGACATGTCAGTTACAGAATTGTCACTAGAGAGAAATGGTCTGAACCCTATTTATAGTTGACTTTGGGGTCTAGCAATGGCCCCTGGGTGGCACAAATGGTTTGCATTACACTACTTAACCACGGGTTAGTGGTTTGAACCCACCCAGCAGCACTACAGGGAGAAAGGCCTGGCAATCTGCTTCCATAAAGATTACAACCAAGAAAATCCTGTGGAGCAGTTCTACTCTGAAACACCTGGGGTTGCCATGAGTCGGAATCAACTCGATGGCAACAGTGTTTTTTTTTGTTTTGGAGGGGGTGTCTAGCATGAATTTTTGCAAGCTGTTGGGGACAGATAGAAAAATATGGCCTTGTGGATGGGGTTTCCACTCAGGAGATCAGTTTTCACATCAGCTATTCATATGGGGCAGTTCTACAAGGTCTCCATGAATGGGAATTGACTAGACAACAATGGGTTTGTTTTTTTCCATTCATATGGATACCCGCTTGTTGTATTCTCTGATTTTTCCCCTTCCTCTTTATTACGTGTATCCCTTGAAGAAGTGATTGAGAGAGAGGTGGAGGTGTTGATGTGAGGAATCTATCTCTCCCTGTGGTTTTTTCGTTGAATGATGTGTTAGTCAATGTAACATGCAATCCTTGTAGCACATGCGTGAGGCTCTTACCTGCATGTCCCTGGGTGTATGTTGATCTTGGACACTTCTTGGCTTATGGCTAATGATTTGATTTTACTTAGTGAAAAAACAATGCCTGACTTAAGTAACAGACCCTTTTAGTGGAACGATCACCTCAGCTTTTAGCTTGAGACAGGGATAAGGACTGAAAAAACTCCTATGGGTTACCACACTGATGGCACTTTAAAATCTAGCTGTAGATTTTTGTTTTTTGCTTGTAACTCTTCTGCTGGCTAGTCTTGGTTTATAAAATAAAATACTTCGCTAAGAGTTAAGTATAGTAGCTTACAATTTAAAGACATTAATCATAAAGGCTAATTTTTTTTTTTTGGATTGTGATGAAAAGACACGGGGCTCTGGGAGCTGATAATGATGTCTACTTTCTAGACAAAGCACCATATCTTGTGGATTTAAAGAAACCGGAGAAAAAGATTGCTCACACAGTGAACTTCTACATCAAAGTGGAACCTGGGGTGATGTTGGGAATCTGGTGAGTGCAGTGGTTGGACACTGGGTTGCTCTATGGATAAGGTTCCCATGTTATAAGGTCAAGGGCAAGCAGTGCCATGTTACTTGCCTATGGAGAGGTTGGTGCTCCTTGGAAGCACCTGGAAGTTTTTCAATTCCCTCTGGTTGATTTTGCTTTCCAGAAATTTTACTTTGGAGTGTGAAGCCTTTTAGAATTTGTCCTTTGCTTTGAGTCTTTCACCAGGCCTGAGCGAGCTGGCCCTGCCCACTTCTCCTCCTTATTCCACACCACCCCTTCCCTCACTCTACTCCTGACACACTGGCCTCACTGGGTGTCAAGCCACATCCTCCCAGCATATGCTCCATCTGGAACACTTCTTCCTTTTGCTCTGCTCCTTCCCCTCTCTCCTTTTGCCTAGCTGACTGCCTGCTCATCTTTTGGGTCTCATTAACTGGTGACTTTCATAGAACCTCAGCTACCATTTTAGGTGTATGCTCTCATGGCAATCTTTGCTTGTCCTTTACATTTATTCCCACTGTAGTTAAATAAATATGTGCTTATTTGGTAAATGTTTGTTGTCTTTGCTGAACTGTAGCTTCCACAGGCCAGAGACTTTGTTGGGTTTTCATGGATTAACACAGCACTTGGCATGTAGAAGACACTGTTTAAATATTTGTCAAATGAAGTAGTGAGCATTTTATTGTCTTTTTTTGGTATACTGATCTCAATATTCTGTTTGATTCTACTACCTGTTCTTTGCTGCCAATTTCCCAGTACCTCATTTTATATTTCATCTTCCTAAGTTTAAACATCTGATTATGAAATGAGACAGTAAAGGCTGATGTAGCTTCTTCCTAATTTGCAGGGTACAGTTTAGCTAATAATGTTGGGATTTGAAAGCCTTTTTATTTTCCACTCTTGCCCCATTGGTACTCGGCTTGGTGAGTTAGCGATCCTCATCATGATTAGCTCATCTAGCTGGCAGTCGTGCCTGTACTCTGGGACTTTTTGCCCCGAAATGATTGAGAGAACTAAAGATTTATCACCTCATGGCCAGTTCCCCAAGTCTCCTCGTGACAAGTCAAATGGCAGTGTTTGCATTTTCAGGATTCATTCACTGATTTTACAAGATGGAGGAGCTGGAACTCACAGAAGTGTTTAAAATTTACAAGGTCACTTAGTTTCTTGAGTTGAATAACTTAGTTTTAGGTTACATTTTTTTCTCCAACATGAACTGGTTTCCCTTTCAATTCTTCCCAACCTGTCTCTTCAGCTAAACCAATGGCAGATGTCAAATATCCATTATCTTTTACTTGTCTCTGCCCATTTTTGTTATTTCAATGGACTGCATCCAAGAATTACATTTTTGGCAGAATGGTAAGTGTTAAGAGGCAGAAGAGCTAAAACAGTAAATGGTTAAAAGAGATTGTCTGTGCATGGGAGAGGTGGGGTAGGGCAATGGTGGTTTTTGCTATGAGACATTTTGTGATATTAGATTTTTGTTTTTACCGTGTAAATATATTATTTAGATAAAATTTATATGTATATATACACATACACATACATATATAAATCACACACTCATCTATATGAGTGTGTGATATACACACATAAATATGCATACACACATACACATGTGTCTGTATATTTATATATATCATGTATGTTTGCATATATATTTATATATATGCACACATATATAAATATACATACATACATAAGGGGAAGGTACACTGAAAAGCTTCCAGGTTCCTCCAAGGAAGACCAACCTCTCCACAGGAGGGTTTCAGACTTCAGACTCTGGCAAGGATAGAGAGAACTTCTCTCTGTGTACATGTTTGCTAAAGCCTTTCCTTGCTCTTCAGGCACACAGTCCCCAGATGCCGGGGTGAAGATGCTAAGGGGAAGGACCATTGCTGGTATGAGGCAGCTCTTCACGATGGCAACCCAATTATTGTTTATCTCCACGGCAGTGCAGAAAACAGGTCAGTGCCTTTGCTTGGAAAACTATTATTACTTTTTTTTTGATAGAGAGAGAGAGAACAGTTTAGTCCTGTAGGGGAGTAAAGGGCAGCGCACAGTTTTCAATTCTGTAAGCATGCCTTTGATGAAATCTGAGGGTGTTCTGGCTTCTCTTAAAACATCACTCTATATGTGGAATAACATGGATCCTTAACTGAGAGGGAGAAAAGAATAACTTGACAATATGGATATTGATTTTAAAGAAGGGAGTGGGTCCTTTGTATGAAATGATGGATTGAATTCATGGATGACTTTAAAGAGAATAGACATGAATTATGGGGGAAAAAGAACAAATTCCACACCAAAGGTCTTTCCAGAAATCTACAGTGGAAATTTTATTAGCATTAATTTTATTAATCAAAAGTATGACTCTCAGAAAGTCACCTGAAATTTTGACCATAGGTACTAGGAGACCATCTGACTAATTCTAATCTAGAATACTGATGCCTCAGCCCACTCTGTGGTCCCGACCTTGCTTTGTAACAAAGAAAGTCTCCCAGAAGCCTGGCTCTCCTTTGATACGTTGCCAAAGCCTTCAGTGTATCTGAGTGATTATGTTGGGTGATGATTATCAGCCTTGACTGCACCTCTTCAGTGTGAGGGAGGAGCGGTGTGCCTCAGAAACCCACGGACCTCATTCTGTCTCTGGAGGGACACTTCAAACTAAGTGACAAGCTCTGCAATCTGCCGCTTGGCTTCCTATCCTATGTCTCTTTTCTTCAGTGTATTTTTCTGTCAGGTGATGGCTTTCTCAAGACTTGCCTTTTCCCAAGGGGCTTTCTTTCTTTTCTTTTTCTAAATTTTGCTTATTTTGTTTTTGTTGTTGAGAATATACACAACAAAATACACACCAATTCAACAGTTTCTACATGTACCATTTAGTAACATTGATTACATTCTTTGAGTTGTTCCAACATTCTCATCCTCCTTTTCTGAGTTGTTCTTTCCTCATTAACATGAACTCACTGCCCC